AAAGTTAAAAATAAAGTTGTTGGGCTCATGCTGTGTGGACAGCCTTCCAGACAGATCTCATGGAAGACTCACACAGCCCTTGAATATAATTGGTTGAATAATTCTTTGAGAACAAAGGCACTACAAACTGACAATTTGGACATCATTTCTGTTTCTACTCTACCTATCACTTCTGTATCTATAACCAGGAAACATAAAAAAAATAAATTGGAGGGTAGCGAGTGCAGTGGTCAGTGGGGTAAAGTAGCCAACATTATTTCTATGGCTATAGCTCATTATCTTCCCTCTGAGAGGATGCTTGCCTAGATTCTTTTCCTCTCCGTCCATCCACAGACGAGAAGAGCTTCAAAAATTAAATCCAATACCAAAAGGTAGTGAGGGAAATGTTTAATTGTCCTGACACTGCAGAAGTCGGATAAGCTCGTATTGATTTTTTGTAGCAAAGTCTCCTGAGTATGAGCATGTATATGTGTGCGTGTCTTACACTTACTCCATTTCTAATCTCCCATTGCATTGTGAGAGCCTGACATTTCCTCTGCAAAATGGCCAGTTAAAGAGGAATTTTTTCTCCCTCTTGTCCCTTTCTCTGGTAAGAGATAGATTTCATCCTGTCCAAAATGATTCCATTCAGAATGAGCAATTTATCTCTTAATCCAAACTCTTTCCTCACACCCTACACTCACCCTTTTCACTCCCATAAGAAAACAAAGGTCCTTGACACTGAATCATAGTGTTGGCCATTCACACATCCATCCATCCATCTTTCCACATCTGATCAGGACAGCCTTGACAAAGGATCAATCTGTAAAAGTATGGGTCAGTGGGTGGCTGAGCTCTGAATTCAAACTTTTATCACCATCATAAGGCACAGAAGCACATTGGGCTCTCACAGTAGCAACTCCAAATCTTTCAGTGCTTCCAAATTTGCAAAAATACAATCCTGGTTAATGCGCAGTACAGGTACCAGGTACAAAAATTACACTAAACAAGATGTCAGGGTGGCCTGGGCCTAACACATTTGTGCTGCAGGCTTGAGTAATGAGGCTCATAGGACAGACAAGGCACAGCTCTTTATTAACTGTTCCCAGCCAACAGAAATTTCCATAATTTAGTGAAGCCCCATGTAACGGGGTGGGACTCACCACCATGGTGCCTCCTGCTGGTTGTTCTGGGAATTAGCTCAGTATTTCACAGGGCACTCTCCTCAGGTGGTGTGTTGCCACCGTCACTTCTGCTCCAGACTCACATTTGCCTCAGGGATTGCGGCATCCTCTTCAGGACACGGCCCTCTGGCCATGCCCCATTCCATTCTCCCCCCTTCCGGGGGAATGGCAATCCTTTGTGCAGCCAGTAAACTCCATGGCCAACTGCAACCCAAGCTTCTAGTCACTTGCCTCAGTGGCAAACTGCAGCCCTTCACTTGTCATTCCCCTCCATGGCAAGTGGGGGCAAAGGGGAGGAGGGAGACCTAGGCCCACCCACTACTCCATGTCCGGACCCAGGGACCTTCTAGGCAGCAGCCATGCACTGTGTCTCCTTCAATTCCCACCATCCACTTCCTCCTAGCCCTAGCACCTTCTCTGCCCCTGTATCACGGCTTCAGTCTTTCAGCCAGTCAGGCGGAGCTCCCTCTTGCTCCCCTGACTCAGCGCAGTACTGCTCTGTCCAGGGTGCTGGCAGTTCCGTCAGCCCTTCAAGGACCCAGTCTCTTTTCCCTCGGCTCCCAAGAGAGAACTACCCCACTCTGTCCTGCAACTCTCTTTATATATGGGCCTGCTCTTCCCTGATTGGCTGCTCATTGCAGCCCTCTCTCTGATTGGCTGTCTGCTGCACAGCTTCCCCAGGGCTGCTTTTAACCCTTTCTCCACCAGTATGGGGCAGACACCCTGTCACACCCCACCATAACTCAACCTCTACCAATCCCATCTGTTGCCTAGTAGAAACAAGACAAAAATGATACTTTTATAGAGCAGGGCCCAAACAGCTTAGGGCTTTAATAGACTTTGACTCTTAAGAATGCCAAGAAATTAATTCAGATGGGTGAATGCATTTAGGCAGACAGGAGAGATCAGTGACACAGAAAAAGATGCAATGATAAACAGAGATGGGCAAGCAACAAGGTCTGTATTCATATCCTGATTATTTTTAGGCTACGGTTCAGGTCCAAGGTCAATAACGCATAGCATTTGCATTAAGGTTCTACTAAGGGAAACTATTATGAAACACCCCCCCCCCAACTGCCATGGACAGAGAAATCACAAGATATGCTATTTGTGTTAGATTCCTGACACAAATAAAGGAGAGTCAGAAAATAAGCCTACTCCAGTTGTGAAGATGACCTAGAATCAAAACTGGAGCAGGTTCATATTCACAGCTTTGACCCCCTGAAGGCCACTCCTCAGATTCAAAGGTTCCAGGCTCTGCTACTGGCCCATTTCTAGTTATAAGTAAAGCCCTGAATGAACTAATATGGATAAAATAAGAACTAAGGTGACCCTTTAGCCAGAGTTCAGACTGACTCCACAGCTGAGATTCACAAAAAGTTTAATTATCTTTTTCTTTTCCAGTATTTTGTAGTTTCTGCATTTCTATGTTCTGGCTGAGGCCAGAACAGAAGTGACAAAATAAAACAAGAAAAGGTGCTCTGGTAAGATTTACAGCCCATTTCTGGGACCCAAGAACTCCAGACAGTTTGGACTAGCATATAGAATTCTGGGTGTTTATCTGACCTGAGTCACCAAATCCACTGAGGTTTGCCCATTACTATAATTATAAGAGCATCAGTCTGTCCTCCGTGATGGAGAAACGTCCAGAACAGCCAACAAGGAGACATGCAGTCTTAAAAGAAAAAAACCCAGCCTCCCTGGAGATGTAATAGGCTTAGCAGCCCTGCTTGACACATGTCGGATAAAATAAAAAATAAATAAATAACAATGTTTATAAGAAGATTAGCTTGAACATGGTGAAATTTCTCTAGGGAACCTCCATGGCTGAAGCTCAATATGACAGCTCCCAGGGCCATTAAAATTCTCCCCCTTCCCAGTCTCCCCCTATCCCTTCCCCTCAAGCAGCTTTGATTTGGGAGATTGAAGACACATCTGCTGGGGACACTCCAATTTTCACCATGTGTAACCATGTCTGCTGTCCCCTTTCCTCTAGAGGACAGAGGTGAGGCGTTGAGAGTTAGCTCAGTGGAAGTAATGCGTTGTGACTATCCAATTTGTGACTGCGACCCCTCCAGGAAAAAAACATGTCTCTGAGAAGCAGATTATCCTCAGGCCTTTTACTACATTGTTCAAAAACAAATCCTTTTAAGCTTATGTATATATAACAAACACCCTCCAATCATTTATATAATAATTTAAATCTATATATAGATAGATAGATTTAAATTATTATATAAATATAAATATCTATATATCTAAATATTCACACATCCCTATTAGTTACACACATGTGTATTATATGTGGATACACAGAAAGCTGTGCTATGCTGTTTGTTGTACAGTGAAACTTTCCATAGGGTTGTGGAAACGGTGCTTATGCTCTTAGTATTGAATACCAATCCCGCAGGCAAAGCTCAAGTAAATGGGCTTGAGCAGGGAATACATAGTGGGGATGGAAAACTCTCCAACTGCCCAGCCACACAGACCTGATTCTGCACAGTGCTGAGCAGCCTGAACTCCCCTTTAATTTCAGGCCCCATATAACCATTACCACTACTGTATCTCAGGGTTTGTCACAATGGCCAGAGCCCCAGCACATGCTGTTCGTTCACTGCAGCCTCATAGATGATGTTGTTTTGCAGCATGCAAGGTTGCACAATGCCTGTGTGGCTTCTTCTCAGCCTCTGTACAGACCCATGGACTAGAACCGAGGTCTGTAGAGCTTGGCACGGCTGACATGCCCACAGAGCCACCTCCAGGGAGCACTGGTAAGAATAGGTACTGCAGGAAGTACTGCCCAAAGAACTGAGAATGACAGTATCCTGCAGCCCTCTGATTGGGCAAGTGCACTACTGAACTCTGGCTGGTGCCCCAAGAAGTTGCCTGGGCAAGTTGTCTGGGTAACTTCAGACACCACCTCATCTTCTGACCCCAGTCTGACTGACCCTAACTCTTGCCTCCTGACTCCAGCCTGGTACTATCCCTGATCTCCAACCCCAGCCTGACTCTGATTCTTGCTTGTTGAACCCAGGCTCTGACTGCTGCTCACTGACTACCATCCCTTATGTGTGTACCCCAGACCAGCTATGACTGCTAGTCCAGACTGCCTAAACTGGTCCCTTACAGCCTGTCCTCTCTCTGTCAGACAGTGAAAACATGTTCATTCCACTCCATTTTGCTCTCCCATTGGGAGAGGTGTGGCAAAGGGACACACAGTTGGGCAGCACATGAGACCTGATCAAAATCCCATGGAAGTCAGTAGAAGGCTCCCATGGACTTCAGTGGATTTAGGGCCAGACCCTTAATATTGTTCAGTACCTGATATAGCAAATGGAAAGTGATATAAGAACAGTGCACTTTCAAAAAAGTATGGGCCTTATGAGATGTAAATCATTTTTCATTTAAAGTGCCTCATTCAAGGGATGGTGGCAGGGGGGAAGGACTAGAATCAGATGGACTGGGGTCAGGAAGGTGTGAGGGAAAAAGAAAGAAGCAAAGACAATTAGCAGAAATTAGGGGCATCAATTTTTTTATAACTGGTTTATTCTAAATAATATACCTCTGAAATGCACATAGGCACATTATTATCTGGACGTTTCATATAGCTACCCATTTTAAAAACAGTGACTGAATTGTGATGCTGTAATTCCATCAAGTTGTTCTAGAGACTTGAACTTCTCCTCAGTCATTTACGATGCCACCAGAATCTCCTTGATGGAATTACCAGAGGCTTGCTCTAGATGTATTGACAACAGGTGGAGTTGGGATTCCCTGCCTCTTTGGTTCTCTGAAATGCACACCAAGGTCCTCTGCACTGACAGCAGTGGTACTCACAGAAAGTGCTGCAGCCGACGCCCAAAGCAACTTCCACTGTTTGCCTCTCCCATTCCTCATCATTGTTTCTTGCCTCTCCTCTTTTTCCTCACTCTCTCCTTCATTTCCTATTTTTCTTCTTTCCGTGATCACTCTGGCCACATCTACAATGGAAAAATAGGCCACATTTAAAACCATTAAGCAGGTTGTTAGTCCTTGACCATGCCCGACTAACATGTTTTGAAACACCACTTGCCCTTGTCTAAACATTGTAAAGTCTTGCTTAAAATTGCGTCAGTTAAAATGGGCTAGCCAACACATTTTAAAACACAACCTATTTTCCTAACCAAGACATGGCCTCCAAGAGCTGCCGAAAGACCCATATTGTGGTCAGAGTCCCTCCAAACCCCCTTCAACTTTTAAAGATTTCTGCCCTATTTGCACGGGGTTAGTAAGTAGATTTTCTAATAACGTCCACATCCCAAAATCCACCATTAGCAATGGCACCAGTTTGCCCCCTTGTTGCTTTCTGGCAGTCTCTGAAGAGAGGACAGGCAGGAAGACTGAACTACTCTCCCTTTGTACCACGTGCCCACACACTTCTTCCTCCCTCCCCGCTATTCCCTGGTCTCCATGAAGAAAAAAAGAGGCCAAACTGTCTGCTGGCATAAATTGGCACAGTTCCTTTGAACGCAGTGGAACTGCACCAGCACTGCGAATTTAGCTATTGGTGTCAAACCTCTACTTCAGTACCACAAATGCGATCTTCACATGGCTTGTACTGTGCTTTGAAAACACCTCAGACTGGTCAGGCTGGTCTAATGTGGTATAGTTGTGAGGGAAATGACTGTCCTGCCATGTTTTATTAATAATCAAGCTTAGAAGTTATGTAACACTTTATTTACATTAACTAATCCTTACAGCATCCCCAGTGAAGTACCATTATCCCTTATTCACACATAGGAAAGCTGAGGCACAGAGAGAAGGTGAAGTGACTTGCCAAAGGCCAAAGAGGGAAGTGAGTGCGAGAGTCAAGATTAGAAAACAGGAGTTCCTGGCTCTGTGTGTTCTTAGACTGATAGACTATGCCCTACTTCACAGTAAAGAGACCCAGGGGAAAGACAGCTAGTGTGACGTCTAGGAAAGGCAAAAAAAAAAAAGTAGCAAAAGATATTCTGCATCGTCCTCACCTGCAATAAAACTTCCTCAGCTCCATAGATTATGTCCTTTTTTTTTGCCTCTTTTGGGTTTGTCTCCTTCTCATGAGTTATGAGCTGCCTCTGCCTTGTCATCTTGCTTCTGTAGCATGGTAAGAATATTATTTATTTGGAAGGGGAGGGATTGTTAAAGTAGATGGATTGTGAGTGTCTACTTTAAATACAACATGCATAAAAAAATCTTCTTTTTTTCAGATCCACCATTGGATTTTGCATTAAATTCCTTATTTTTCATTCAAATTGAAGGGCTTTTCTTTTATTTCTTTACAAAAATAAGCATTAAAAGTTATGTGATGAATAACCTGCAAGCAGGTCCTCAAGGATCTGTAGAAAGGTCTGGCATAGAACACTGCGATTGAAATGAGGTTGAAAGAATAAGTCAGTAATGTGTGTGTAACTTAAAGAGGGAGGGCCATTCATTCCCATTATGAAGAACTACACTACCATTAATAATCATTTTAACAAGAGCTGACCTGATCCAACAGCTCTGTATTACCTTTCTGGGAGTGAATTCTTATTTAATGGAATACACTATGCATACAAATTCCCAATATTTATTATTGCTTCACCTGGCTTGAAATAGAAGCATTTATTCAGCCAAATTGTATTAAAGGAATATGCATACTGTATTTCCTTTGTTATAAAGCATTCACCTTACAAGGTGCTTCTGTAAAAGCCATGCGATGATCACTTTACATCTATGTTTTCCTGACCTGTAATAACCCAGGTTCAGAAAACAGGGACAGCCTGATTAGGAGATTATACTTTCCCACAAACGCTAGCTGGGTAATTTTTAACTCTTAGAAGCCGTTTTAGTTCTGGGTTGTTGAAGCTCTTTTTGAGAAGAGAGAGAGAGAGAGTGAGTGGAAAGGACTGAATATACTCTCATAGGCAACAAGACTAAGCCTGGGCTTTGTATACATGACTGTTCTTGCTAAGACATCTTTTCATAACCCTGGATCTCTTGTAAAAAACTATGGAACAAAGATTCAGGGTCAAAACAATGGTCCAGCTAGCTCAATATCCTGTCTTCTGACAGTGGCCACAGCCAGATGCTTCAGAGGGAATGAACAGAAAAGGACAATTATCACATGATCCATCCCCGGTCTTCCAGTCCCAGCTTCTGGCAGTTGGAGAGTTAGGGACACCCAGAACATTGGGTTGTGTCCCTCACCATCTTTGCTAATTGCCATTAATGGTCCTATTCTCCATGAACTTATCGAATTATTTTTTGAAACCAGTTATACTTTTGGACTACACAACATCCCCAGGCAATGAGTTCCACAGGTTGATGGTGCATTATGTGAAGAAGTACTTCCTTTTGTTTTTTTTTAAACCTGCTGCATATTAATTTCATTGGGTGACCCCTAGTTCATGTGTTATGAATAGGAGTAAATACTACTTCCTTATTCACTTGCTCCACATCATTCATGATTTTATAGATCTCTATCATATGCTCTCTTAGCCATCTCTTTTCTCAGATGAACAGTCCCAGTCTTTATAATCTCTCCTTATATAGAAGGTGTTCCATAGCCCTAAGCATTTTTGTTGCCTTCCTCTGTAGTTTTTCCAGTTCTAATATCTCTTTTTTGAGATGGAGTGACCAAAACTGCACACAGTATTCAAGGTGTGAGTGTACCATGAATGTATATAGTGGTATTATGATATTTTATGGTTTATTATCTATCCCTTTCCTAGTGGTTCCTAGCACTCTTTTAGCTTTTTTGACTACTGCTGCACACTGAACAGCTGTTTTCAGAGAACTATCCATAATGATTCCAAGATCTCTTTCCTGAGTGGTAATAGCTAATTTAGACCCATCATTTTGTATGTACAGTTAGGATTATGTTTCCAATGTGCATTGCTTTGCACTTATCAACATTGAATTTCATCTGTCATTTTCTTGCCCAGCCACACAGTTTTGTGAGATCCCTTTGTAACTCTTCACAGTCAGCTTTGGACTTAACTATCTTGAGAAATTTTATACCATCTGCAAACTTTGCCACCTCATTGTTTACCCCTTTTTCCTGATCATTTACGAATATGTTGAACAGCACTCATCTTAGTATAGATCCTTGAGGGACACCACTATTCATCTCTCTCCACTGTAAAAACTGACCATTCATTCTTACCTTTTGTTTCCTGTCTTTTAACCAGTTACTGATCCATGAGAGGATCTTCCCTGTTATCTCATAGTGCTTACTTGTCAAAGGCTTTCTGAAAATCCAAGTACATCCAAGTCCCCTGGATCACTCTTGTCCACATGTTTGTTGGCCCCCTCAAAGCATTGTAATAGATTGATGAGGCATGATTTCCCTTTACAAAAGCCATGTTGACGCTTTCTCAAAATATTGTGTCCATCTATGTGTCTGATAATTCTGTTCTTAATATTATATTATATGAAATATTATAGTTTCAACCAATTTGCCTGGAACTGAAGTTACGCTTATGGGTCTGTAATTCCCACAATTACCTCTGGAGTCTTTTTAAATATTGGTGTTACATTAACTATCATCCTGTCGTGGTATGGAGGCTGATTCTACCTACCACAGATAGTAGTTCTGCAATTTCATATTTGAGTTCCTCCAGAACTCCTGGGTGAATGCCATGTGGTCTTGGTGACTTATTACTATTTAATTTATCAATTTGTTCCAAAACCTCCTCTACTGACACCTCAATCTGGGACAGTTCCACAGATTTATCACCTAAAAAGAATGGCTTAGGTGTGGGAATCTCCCTCCCATCCTTGGCCATGAAGACTGAGGCAAAGAATTCATTTAGCGTCTCCACAACAGCCGTGTCTTTCCATGAATGCTTCTTTAGAACTCTTTAGATGGGAGAGCAGAAATGCAGAAAGTCCAGTGAACAAGACTTACCATGAGCCAATACCCAAGAAAAGCTGCAGTGCAGTCTGGAGACCTGATAAGCATTCCCTGTCATTAAAGGGCAGTTTGAAAACTGTTTCTTGTAAAGAAGTTAAAATGAGAGCTGGGACAAACCTAGTTGTTTTCGATTCTCATAACTCAGTCATGTTTTTGTAGTACAAGCAAAATTTCACCTGGTTTTGAGTTAGCATCTATGGCCTGCCTATAGAACACATTACAAAGCTCCCAAATATTTTTAGGCAGGAAATATAAGGAAAGTTACTGCCCTTCCAACAATCAGCAGACACAGGAATGAGCTTAAAGGAAGGAATGGTTCAACTTACCTGTCCAGTACTTTTTCACTATTTTGTGCCCAGCATACTGAGCGTGACTGAGTTTCATTATGACAGGTTTCAGAGTAGCAGCCGAGTTAGTCTGGATTCGCAAAAAGAAAAGGAGTACGAGTGGCACCTTAGAGACTAACCAAAGTGAGCTGTAGCTCACAAAAGCTTATGCTCAAATAAATTGGTTAGTCTCTAAGGTGCCACTAGTACTCCTTTTCTTTTTGAGTTTCATTATAGTGCCTTCCAAGGGAAATGTGGAATGTTTTATCACTTGTTTAAGGTTTCAAAAGTCCTGAAAGACATTGGGCCTCATTCTCCACTGCCTTGCACCTTGTGTAGTAATGTAACCTATGAAAAGTGGGTGAAAAATGCTGCCAAAGCAGAATTAAATGTAAAATGTAAATGTAAATGTAAAAGTAAAATGTAAATGTAAATGTAAAACATTTACACCAGTGGTAATGTTTTAAACCCACTTTGCATTTATCTTGCAGAAGAATAAATGACTATATAGGTGTAAAGAAGTGCAGAATCAGATCCTCTGAAATTATGTTTGTGGGGCTTGTCTAAAAGAAGTATAGAGATACGCAGTTCTGTAGCTTCTAATGAAGATCACTGCTTTTTAATTCAATCCATTTGCTTCCTGAGTCAGACATGGAACGCAAAAGGTACTTTTTCTCAGTGTATTTACAAAACAGATTACTGTTAGATCAAGATGATAGGAACGTTCTCCTGGGACTTGAAAATGTCTACATATTCTGCAAAAATATCAAGTTTTGTAATCTCACATTGGTCTAGAGATAATTGATGAATTCAAGATTTAAACATGCTTTCAGGCCCAATATAAATAGTGCCTGCATGTCCGCAACATAAAATTCGAACTCAAGTGTTGCATTTTTGTATCTGCTTCTAGCTTGTTGTATGCACCATAATAATTTAAACTCACCTTTATAGCCAAATAGTTACTTTAGTTGTTAGTGTGCTACAAGGCACTTGAGGTTAAAAATTTTGGTGTATTTTTCTCTTGGCAATGCCAACCTGGGCACCAGTGTCAAATTTTAATCTAACAAAATGAGAATCTGGGTCCGAGAGACATCAGTAAAAATAAATCTATGAAATACTTGGCTTGGGAATGATCTCTTGGTTTCTTGAGCATGGTTACCACTGACTGTATCAATGAAAACTCATAGTGGTCAGAAACATTGCCTCCTACATTAATATGAACTGCCTTTGCAAAGTGACTGCATTTCCTACATTTTGCATAGTGATGACAGTGGGGGATTACAGTGGACGAAAAGCTGGATGAGTCAGCAGCGTGCTCTTGTTGCCAAGAAGGCCAACAGCATATTGGGCTGCATTAGTAGAAGCATTGCCAGCAGATCGAGGGGAGGGATTATTCCCCTCGACTCGGCACTGGTGAGGCCACAGCTGGAGTAAATTCTGTCCAGTTTTGGTCCCCCCGCTACAGAAGGGATGTGGACAAATTGGAGCGAGTCCAGAGGAGGGCAACGAAAATTATTAGGGGGCTGGGGCACACAGGGCCAGATTAACCTTTTGCGGGCCCCAGCGCCAAACGTATTTGTGGGCCCCATGTGGTCATTGTGGGCTCCGAGTGTGGGCCTGGTATGGCAGTGCCATGGGTGCCATAGTATACCCGGTGCTGAATCTCAGAGGCATTCTTCATTTTGATCACACACCTCGACATGACCACATGCGTTGCCATACGCCGCTCCCTCAGCCCCCAGTTTTTCTCATTGAGCTGTACACGCATGTGGGTTTATCAGTGTTCACAGTGAGCAGAATTTCACAGTGATCAGGGAAACTCCCCACAGATTTATCTCCTTCCTCATTCAGACCTTCTATAGCCATGTCTCCAGTACCACCCTATGTCACCAGTCACCGTATGCGGTCCTGGTCTCAGCTCAAAGTTCCAAAGCCAGCAGATACCTGATCAGTTCTGACAAATCCCTCCCTCAGCACCCATCCTGCCATTTGAGCAAGCCACTTGCAAACACCATTTCCCCAAAGTGAGGACTTAGCTCTTAGGAATCTGAAGACGCCAGCCTTTCTTCCTCTGCTCCCTTCTACATGCTAGTCTACTACCTGATCACCACTACCTCTCCTCTTGTTTCCTTTCTACTTTGGACATGCTCCCCAACCAGCCTGGGCTGTTCTCCCGCTACAAGCCTGACCTGCTTCCTCTTTCCCTGCTCCCCTTGACATTCCTTTCCTACTGGTGACCTCTGTTCCTTGAGGTTAACTCCAGTTTCTTTATCTGCTCTAGCTTAATGGCCCCTAGTAGTCACAGAGCCACCTGCAGCTTCTCTGGCTATAGCCATGGGCCCAATTGCCAGAGGCCAGCCTTAGATAGCTGCAGCTACTAGTCAAGGAAGGGGTGGCAATTCCAAGGCTGAGCATACTTGAACCTTGCAACGGCAGCACTAGGGACTCTAAATCCTCACCGCTGGCCCTAGGCAGCTGCAGACTCTGCAGTTAGGCACTTCCCTCCTCTAAGCCATAGCTTTAAGTACCTGAGATGCCCATCACCTGCAGCAGAGGCCACCAATTCCCACATACCCCTCAGCTAGCACACAGTTGTGCAGAAAGTGCAGCCTGAATGATTTTGGGGTCTGGGGTGCCAGGAGGTTCCCATCCCTGAGCAGCAGCTCTGCAAAAAGCTTACATACCCCCCTCCACTGTGGGACCAGGACCCTGTGAAGACAGTGGAGTTACCCTGTAATATAACCAGATCTGTCCAAAGCCTCTTGAAGTGAGTGGGAGTCTTTTCATGGTCTTTAATGGGCTGCCTATAGAAGCAAAGTACCCCATTCTAGGCTCCAGGAGCAATGTGCAGTCTATGCTGCACTGGTTTACTATTGTAACAGGAAGGTCTTGCGTTACCTAGTGAACAAGCAACACCTCCTACAACACCTAACCTTTTCTGAGAGACTTCCCACCCAATTACTAAATGTAAACCTGTTTCACTTACCAGGGCTGAAAATATCAGGTTGTGTGGTCACAAAAGCAAGGCACTTCTGAATTCAGCAGGAATTTTGGACATGCGCAAAACACAGACGGAATTCGTTCCTGCATGGTTACAGAACTGCAGTCAAGTGGAACAATTTTCAGCTTGTGTGATTGGAGGATATCTTACAAGACTGTCCTACATAAAAGAAGAAAAGTTGAGGTGCCTTTATTATTCTTTTGTTCCACTCTTCGTTTCTATGGGGAATTTGCCAATGCAATATTACTGTCTTCCTTTTAAACAAACAAAACTAAAAAAAATGGTAATAGCTGTTGAAAATAGCAATTTCAGTCCTAGTTAGCACTGGGAAGACCCCAGCATTTGTTACTCAATTTCATCCTACTTTTTCTACAGCAAATTACAGTGGATCAGTATATTTGATTTGGGAGAAATGAAATAACAGCTGCCCAAATTGAGCCTGAGCACTCCTGAATTTTGAGAGTATTCAAATCTGGAAGGCAGGTGCTAGATTCCCTTTCTGAATATTGGGTAAATCTGGAAAGGTAAAGTCAATTTCTGCTTCCATGGCTCAGAAGTGCAAATCCTCCTGAGTGCCTGGTACTGTACCTAAAGCTGCCCAAGTCCTCTAGTAGAGCCTCCCCTCCCTTACTTTTCATTTTAACTTCTCCTAGTGCGGTCCACATACCTCCCCTGCTAGGTTTCAGATAGAGAGGTGCACTGTCCATTCATTCCACCCAGTTCCTTCTTTGGGGGCTGCCAGGTGAGGTCACACCAGCATCCCTAATCCAGTCTGAGGAAGTCTTCTGAGGGTGCTATCTGGGCCAAAGCCTTCTAACTCCTTGGGCATACTTGTTCCCCACTCACAGTGCCACCCCCTTCTAGCAGCCAGCTCTCCATTCACAGCAAGCTGCAGCGCATGGGGTCTCAGCTTCCCCACTCCCACTCCCTCTCCCTCCCCCTCCCTTTCCTGTTGATAGCAGCCAAGGGAATGCTGGAAATGTAGTTCCTTCCCTGCTCCAGGGCCGGCTCTCTAGGCAGGGAGCTGGCCAAGGAACTACAGCTCCCAGGGTTCTTTGGGTTCTCAGCTCCCAAGCTGGATCCCCGCTGCTCGGAGGCTCCGATTGTGCAGTGCTGTGAGAGGGGAGGAAACGAGTATTATGGGCTTGGGCTTCTGAGCTTGGGCCCAGCACCATGGTAAATCTGGTACTGGGGGCACATGACTTATGAGGAGAGGCTGAGGGAACTGGACTTGTTTAGTCTGCAGAAGAGAAGAGTGAGGGGCAATTTGATAGCAGCCTTCAACTACCTGAAGGGGGGTTACAAAGAGGATGGAGCTCGGCTGTTCTCAGTGGTGGCAGATGACTGAACAAGGAGCAATGGTCTCAAGTTGCAGTGAGGGAGGTCTAGATTGGATATTAGGAAACACTATTTCACTAGGAGGATGGTGAAGCACTGGAATGGGTTACCTAGGGAGTGGTGGAATCTCCATCCTCAGAGGTTTTTAAGGCTTGGCTTGACAAAGCCCTGGCTGGGATGATTTAGTGGGTGTCGATCCTGCTTTGAGCAGAGGATTGGATTAGATGACCTCCTGAGGTCTCTTCCAACCCTATGATTCTATGACAGTGATGGCTTTTTTCAGGGAAAATTCCAGCACTGTAAATTTTCCTCCACATCAATTGCATAATTACTGTGCCCTTGTGATATTGCCACTGTTTATCTGTGGGGTTTTTTGTCTAGCTCCCTGTGTTTTTTCATTTTGTCTGGTTTTGTCTTTCCTTTCCCAGCTGAATGAATATACATTTTTATCACCGTGCATTCTTGGGTGGCTGGACTTGGGTATGGACAGCATGGTGATGGCACCACTCTCATTATTTAATGGTGATTACCTTATTGTGGAAGAAAATCAAGCATCTTTTCAGATTCCGTTAGATCTGCCTATGGTCTTTAATACTGCTGCAGCATTAACCCAGCTGTGGACCCTGGCAGGGATTGACTGAGTTGTGTTATAAGGAACCAATGTGCCTGACTGAGGAAGCAGAGAGCAGTATTGGGTGACTGTGCATAAGAATCATGCTCTATTCTGTCGCCCCCCACCCCTTTTCAATATGAATGTGAGGTTCTTAGAGGGAAGGCTGATGTAATCTGAGCTGCATTGTTTTCAATATGTAAAGGGAATCCCGCTCTACATCTGTGTTACATCAGACCTATAACTGACCAGCTTACCCAGGGTCTGGCTGGGATCAGGGCTGAGATGAGGGCAAACAGGCTGGAGACTCAACCTGGATAAGCAAGAGAATTGGTAGAGGTCAGGTTAGCTACTGCAACTGAGGGGGTGTGCCCACCTTTTGTTTGCAGCCTAAGGATTTTATTCATCTTTTGCTGCTTTTGGAGAGCTAGACAGCAGCAGCAGGCAGGAATGCTTTTTATTAGCGACATCTGGCTAGGAACTTGCAAATCGTTACAGCTCAGTACAGTAATCCATGACTTTGTCACCTCCACACATTCTACATTGTGCTATACTCTAAGATGGCCCAGAGACTGTGACTAGAGCAGACTCTGTTTGTTCACTGGTTTAGTGGCGATTCGTGCAATGGTCCCTGCTCTGCATTGACTTCCAGTTCATTTGTGGGTGCAATTTAAGTTGTTGGTTCTACCTTATAAAGCCCTAAATTGTTTAGGCCATGAGTGTCTCACTGACCTCCTCTGTCCCTGACACTCAAGCTACCAGTCCCCTGGTTTAATCAGGGCATGGTGGCTGGAGAGCAGGGCATTTTCATAATGGACCCTCCACTGTGGAAATGGCATTTCCCATTAGTGCCAAACTTTGTTGACCTTCAGATCATACAGAACACTCATCCTGTCTCCCTCACTTCTCCCCCCTTTGTTTTTATAAGGAGAGGGGAGCTGAGTGGGCACCATTAAGTGGTAGGTGAGTGTCCCAGTTGGGTGGCTTCAGGGGAGTTAATATTTTGTACACTGGTTGCATTTTGCACATTTTGTATCTGAGTTTTGTAGGCCAACTCCTCAGCTGGTGTCAATCTACATAGCTCCACACCAGCTTACACCTACTGAGGAGATGGTTGTGTTTGTGTACCCAGGGCTCTCTGATTGTCATCTTTTAAAATAAATATAAATAAATGATTTGTAAAACTCCAGGCTGTATTGCTGTGCCATTCCACATGGTATGTGCAGCTTTAAAAGCGGGAACTCTGCCGATGGGCAAAGGTAAGGTTGCAGAGTTTGCCCAGATTACAGAATGTACACAAAGATATATGTTTATTATTTTTATTTACCATTTGTATTGTATTAGTGCCTAGGGGATGCATCTGAGATTAGGGCTCCATTGTGCTAGTTAACAAATGGTCCCTGCCCATAGATAAGACAGATGAAGGTGGGAAAAAGGATACACTGTTGTTATTATAATATATATATATATATCACCAATTCAAGATCCAAAGAATTATGTTCAGCAGGAGACAAAGATTTTATATATTCTATGATTGGATGCTAAATACCCCCATTATCCTTAATCTGATTGTTTGCTCTGTACTTTGCCCTTTATAAAATGGTAACATTAGATAAATCATGTAACCATACTTTTATAGGTGCTATATTACCATAATATTGTCATCTACTGTTTAGCAATTCACAACCTTGTATATAGAGAATTCAGGGCTGGATCTTCAGCTGGTATAAATCAATGCAGCTTCAGCAGAGATACTGATTTACACCAGCTGAGGATCTGGTCCTTCATCTCTTTTTTTCTCTTTATTATTACTTGGTTAGAACTGTCATAACGTACAAAAGCTTGGACCAAATGAAAATTCTGTAGACAAGCCTTCTGATACAATGTACAATAGTTATTTAGATCTGGACACGAGTATTAAATTCTGAGGGGTGCCCATATTAATTTTACAGTGCTGATAATATGGTGACAAGTTAGGGTTATACTAGCTAATTTGCTTGGTGTAATATAAGTTCTGTTTGAAACACCAAAGTGTAACATTTTGTTAAGTTTGACATGTATACGTTGCCATTCTTATCTTGGTCAGCCAGTCTGCCTAGCAAGTGTATTTTTTATTCTATAAATGTGATAGGATAATTAATATTATATCAGTTCTAAGAGAAGAGTGATACTAAATATTGACAGGTTTCAGAGGAACAGCCGTGTTAGTCTGTATTCGCAAAAAGAAAAGGAGTACTTGTGGCACCTTAGAGACTAACCAATTTATTTGAGCATGAGCTTTCGTGAGCTACAGCTCACTTCATCAGATGCATCTGATGAAGTGAGCTGTAGCTCACGAAAGCTCATGCTCAAATAAATTGGTTAGTCTCTAAGGTGCCACAAGTACTCCTTTTCTTTTTGTAAATATTGACAGCTATTCCAAGACTGGAATGCTGTTCTGTTCTCAGCTGGGCATGTGTGACAGTGCAGGGAATGAGTAGGTGAGCCAACACTTTGATCACATTGATGCTAATTAGTGCCCCAGGAGAAGTTGATTGGGGTAATGATCTAATCAGGCTCGTGGGCTGGGTGGGGGTAAATATTCAATTGGCTCTATCAGCCCAGGGCTGATAAAAGAGGCACAGGAAGGCTCTGTAGGGGAATCACAAAACACCATCATCATCATCCAGGGCTAAGCTAGTCTAGTCATACAAAGGCCTCAGAGTAGGGAGATCTCTGTTCCCTCTCGGGTCCTGCTGAGGGGGCATAAAGCTTGGCAAACATTGTAAATAGGCAGGCCCCCAGGGGACTGTGGTGATATTGGTGAAAAGGAGCTGAAATAAAGTTTTACTGAGAGCACACCCCGTGGAGTCTGTGCAGTTTCTGCAGGGAAAAGGACAGGGTGTTATAGCATGTCATTATGTAGCCTATGGCTAACAGTAATTGTTCAAGAATAGATTTGTCCCTAAATAAGTCTCATTTTAAGAGAAGTGGTTTGTTTCCTTTGGTGAAACAATGTTCAGTATCAAATATCAGGGGGCAATTGTGTTAGTCGGTATCCACAAAAATAACAAGGAGACTGGTGGTACCTTAAAGACTAACAGATTTATTTGGGCATAAGCTTTCGTGGGTAAAACACCACTTCTTCAGATACAACTGTTCAGTATAACTTTCTAGGCCAGGATGTTCAAAGTTGGCTAGTGATTATGGGTGTGCTTCTTCAGTGAGGTATATATTTAAATGGTCTCAATAGTAAAAATGGCAAACACAAAACAAACTACCAGTAACTATCCACTTCAAATAGTTATCTTACAAGATAGACCACTTGCTGCTAGCCAAGGCTTCTTCTGGCTGTCTTGATACCTACAGCCAGTGTTGCCAACTCTCATGATTTTGTTGCAAGTCTCATGATATTTGATGTGTTCATAAACCCATGTTTTTGGAGTTATGAGAGACTCTCACTTTCATTTTAAAACAAAAATAAGTTTTTTAGCTCTTACGTTTGTGGAGGAAAAACTTTTGAAAATGTGAATCAAATGTACCTACCAAGGCTCAGAAATCAAAAGACAAATAAAAAGAACCCAAATATTCTTTTTATGTCTTGATTTTAAGCAAATACCATGATTTTTGAGGCCCAACTTATAATTTTTCAATATCTGAAGTCGGCAATACTGTAGAACTGAAGAGACATGTAGAATAAGTGTACATAGTACAGTCTCTAGCAGTTAGCTGCTGTACAAACGAGAAATATGGCATCTATGCATGAGTACACAAATATGATAGCAGGCACATAACATAACTGGCTGAATATATTAAACATATTGATTAGATAACAGTAGAGCCCCTATGTTTAGCACTTATAATACATGGAGGCAAACACAACATAAAAAACACAATGGATTTGTGGTGTGATTTTCCATAAGACTATAGGAATGGCTATATTGGCTCAGACCAATGGTCCAGCTAACCCAGCATCCT